AAATGAGCTCCAGCAAAATAAAACTCTTACAAAATTACGTTTGTAACATAAAAAGCATGTGTATAGAAACCTTGTAAATCATTGTTGCTTTTTTTGGCTGCTTCCGCATTTCACGAATACTACATGAAAGGAAACAGGATAATTTAGAACTGAATTTGCGGATAGCTCCTGTACATATTTTCGAGCATTCTCCCAAAAATCGTGACTTACGCCTCTGATATAGCGCTGGCCTCTTCAGTTTCAGTAGGGATTTCAGGAGTTGCGGCAGAAGAGGGACGGTCAGCTTCTTCTTCTTCGGCCGAGGACTATAAGAAAACACATAAAACATCAAAAACCAAGTCACCACAAATACCAAGCTCACCTTAGCCTTCGTCTCTTCTTCAAAAGGTGATGCGGGTTTTGGCTCCTCTACAAGCGGTTCTGCAACTGGTTCAGCGACTTCAGTGACTTCAGCGACTGGCTCTGCTACACTTTCGACGGCAGGTGCAGGTTCGTCAGGCGCTGGTTGGCTTTCAGGTGGTTTCATTTCTGGTGTTGATTCTTGTTGTGAATCTTCTCTAACTTCTGGTGTAGATTCTTTCTCTAAAGGCTTTTGTTCTTCCGCAGACGCTGAACTGGAAGTTGCTTCCACAGGGGGCTCAGGAGAAACTGAATCTATAAGAAAAATCTATTACTTGAGAAACAATAGTCTGATGGCTAAAGATCTTGTAAAATAGGCTAAGAGCAGCGGAAAACGTTTGAAAAAAAACAGCACTTACTCGGCTTGGTCGATGGTGGAGTAGGCGTCGCTGATGCTGCTGTTTCTGCTTGATCCATCTCATTTCGTTCTTGAAGTTGACGAGTAAACTGCCGCATTACTTCTGACTTCTTCTGTTCTGTTTCATCGATGTCCTTTCGACCTGCAAATAGCCAAACTACACCTGTTATATCATAAAGAAGCTACATTCATAGCAGTGTTAAGTAAGCTTGTTGAAAGAAAGGGTAATGTAATGAATAACAACTCAGTTTGGAAGATCAATGAATGTTATTAAGTGGTGAGATGTGACGACAAACTACTCATACGGTTTTGCAAAAGTGAGTTAATCATTTATAAATTAGAAATAATTACAACGACAAACATGCAAAGATACGAAATCCGATAAACAATGATAAACGTGATTGATTACTCAGCAACAGCAAGAAAAAAGATAAAATAAATTAGTTTCGCGAAAGAGCGGACTCCTGATGAGATCAGCTTAATAACATATTAGTATAGCATTAATTAAAGCATATTGTTCCTTATAAACCAAAGTTGAAAGTGGTTTCAACTTCATTTTGCAAAATATGTGATATGCTTTCAGAATTGACTGCTAAGGTGACCACTAGATGTAGTCTTAGCTATTTGGGTAAAAGGGAGACAAGATTACAACCCTGTATTCACGATTGGAGCGGTATAACAAACGATCGAAATTGTTCTCAAACATTCAAAAGTCCTTTGAAAACAAGAATTTTTCAATGCAATACTAAGCAACTTCCCTTTAAAGAATATCCTCAGTTTTATAGAATGTCAAACTGTCTATTTTCAGTATGCTGCAAAAAGATTGTCCCAGCAAGCTCTGCAGCATACCAACAGTATATACTTTGAAGGGAGAAACGAGAAAAATTGCATAAATCAAGATGTTCACCATATGTTGAATAGCTTATGAAATTTAAGCAGTATGAGTAACGCGATACCGAGGAATTGCATATGAAGCTAGAGTGAAAATTTTCTAGTGTTTCTAAATTTGTTAGAAGTAATTTATAAGGGTAACAGTAAAATCTTTGGCGAACATACATTTCACAAACATGGCACCCAATTTCTCTTTATAATCTCAACTTTAAAGACGTGTCCGTTCACTGCATGTTTTCAAGTGTAAATAACAGTTATGAGCAGTTAAGGTGTCACTATTACATACCTTTCCCTTCATCCTTTTTTGCGTCGGCAGCGGCATCCGCCCTCGCGCCTAAATCAACTTCCTCCAATGTATTTGGATCTTGTATAGTCAATATGGTTTTGGTTCTTTGCTGTTGTATTTGCTGTGGTGGCGGCTGCATAGGCAACGGGGTAGGATGCTGGAAATGTTGCAGATTTTCTTAATTATCGTTTAAAAAAACATATCCGATTGATTTCTGCAAGACACTCACCGTTATCTGTTGACCCATATACATTGTACTCATCGCAGGTGTATGTGGATCATAGTCCATACCAGGTTGTCGTGAGTATTGGGGTCCAGGATAACTGAAACTAGAATGCAGATTTCGGACAATTTGTACACGCAAAAATGCACAACACCACAACCCAACAGCAAAACGTTTGACGTTCGCAGAATTCCATGACATGGTGGGTGTCGGTTTAATCCAACACTTGCTCATCGGTAAGAATCAATACCCTTCTCAGCAAAAAGAAAGCTTGAGATTTCTCAGAACAAAGTGCCACACAACAAACACTATTAGGAGGATTGTAAGAGGATGAAAGAGG